GACGGAGCACGGACCTGCAGAGAAGAGGGCACGGAGACGACGCGCTAAACGGTGGGACGACGAGTGGTTCCGGTAGGACACGACGACGTGTGTGTGGGGGCGTTCCCGACACGAGGACCAGGAGCTACATCTCGACTCTCATCGGAGGATAGGTTGAAGTAGGTGTTTCTAGTTTCCCTCCCCGTTCCCCTTTAGTTAGCTATATTATTCGGCTATATATTCTAGCCTGAGGATTTTATATGTCGTGAGCAAGTCTCACCCGTGTCACAGTAAGGCACCAGTGTGCCGTGCAGTACTATCAAGAGTACTTGTAATATTCATGTTTATTATTGGTGTGTACAGGCACCAGGAACAAGTGATAAATTTACTGTGTTTTGTATATCTTTCTACAGATATTGATGTGAACATATAGTGATAAATTATATATAATATTATGCCAGTATTTGGAAGTTAGGCTATGTGCCCAGAAACTATTTATTAACCATTTATTGATGTCTGATTTATATGCATTATATATGTCTATGTTCATACAGTGATTAATCATTTGTGAGTACAGTGAATTATTGCGTTATCGCCCACGAGAGAAAATACTGAAAACTCCAGTGTTAAATACTTCATAATATATCAGTGAATGAAGGGCAAGTAAAACCATTACAGTGAGTCATTGTTGCATTGATTGTAGGAACGTCTGTTTGAGCCCGAGTATAGTGTAACTAAGTAATACGTTCTATTGTGCCAATATCGAGTGTGCGAGTTTCTAGTAATATTGGAGAACTTAAAGAAACAGCGCGCGTGAATCTAGGAAACAAACAATAAACTTTCGTGAGGGGCCAGGCGATCAGCTGATCGTGACACTTGACGAGGAGGGGAGGTGTTGCCACTTAGTGAGTGCACAATATTCGTGGGAACTACCGGCCGCAGCCAGGATCAGTTGATTTATTTATTATTGTTTGGCCTTTGTGACATCTTTCATGCATTTTAAGTAAAATACAAAATTATCTTTGTGTTTATATCATCCCCTCCATTGATCTTGTGGCTATATTATACTGAAAGTATAGAGTGATAACAGTAAGTACCTGCCTGAACTCCTGGTCTATTGAGTGTGACCTTGCCAAGGCTACCACTAATTCGACCAGTCCACTGAGGTGTTACTGGCCACCTGAAACACCAGTTGGCGACCTTGTGGTTAACCGTAGAGCCAGATTGTTGGGGAGGGCACATGACAGTCAAGTGAACGAGTCGTGTTCCCACTCCTTCTCAATCAGAGGCCGGTTGAGATTGACTGGGAGACTCTCCTGGCGTGCAGTGGCGCCTTGAGGATAGAGTGAAGACCCGCAGGGCTACGGTGAGTGACCTTGAGATAACTATTGTTCACCGAGTAAAGAGATAAGAACGGCAGTAAACCCCAACAATATATATATATATATATATATATATATATATATATATATATATATATATATATATATATATATCTACGAATGGAAAAAAAATCATTAAAAACTCCCAGAAGTCAGCTAACAGACAGTGACAGAGAAATTTGTCGTTTTTAAAAATTATATTGTCTCCATATTCAGTACAGAAAAACACAACAGATTCCCACTACCGATATAGATTTGTTGAGCCTTTGGCTGAACAAAGCTACATAGGTGATGTGAATCTGAGAGTAGTCTCTTAATGTATAGCAACATTGTAATGCCCATTTTTCTGTTGCTCATGGAGGTAGAAGCCACATCATCCAACATTTACGAAGCCAGTAACATAACTATGCTGAAATGACTCTGGTTTTTAGTATGTAAATTTTAGTACGCGTTCTGTCACTGAAGAATAATTGTAAGCTCAATATGTTTATGAAATAAAACTTTTTTTATTATCTTATTTTTTCATGAATATAGGATATTACATAATCCGCCATCACAATGTCCAGTTTTTGTCACAGGGAAATATGGTCAGCCTATCCCTTAATAACCTACTCAGTCACGATAGGACAATGACCAATCAACCCGGAACTCTAATGAATTCATTTGGAGGTTCTGGAGGCCTGAACTGATGCCCAACCAGGATTTTATGATTGGCCCACCAACATGTCTTTTTTTCACTATAACAATCATCATAGGAAGCTTGCACAGCGAGTAGACGTGCTTTGTCCTTCTGTTACGGCCACAATGGGTAGCAACCGGGTTCTTTGCTGGTAGAACTAAAGTTCTGGTATCCGGCCCCAAGTTAGTAGTGGCTTTCAAGGAGTGAGCTCAGTAATGCAAGTAAAACACAAAGTGGGGGGGAGGGGTTGCATTGAATACGACTCTTCATCAATTATCAATATATTCACATATAATCACTTTCCCATCACCTCATAAGCCTAATGGAAGTATTACTACATTTAATATGTACACAAGGGTCTCCCTCATAGAACACTAAATGCTCCTCGATGCTCAATCAATGCAGTCTTGTCAGCTACCGTGTTTCCTCAACACACAGTACCGTCCTCAACCTGTACTGGGAAACACCAACGAGTCTACCCTAGCCACAGGCCAGTCAAAACACAGTCTCACTAGGTGCTCTTCGTGCACGCCCACAATCACTCTCCAGCCTGGTGCTGGCAGAGAACATGAGCTGGGCCTCTTCACGTACAAATACAAGGGTAGCGAACCCCTGGCAGGAGCTTGTTGCAACTCGCTGGTTACACTCCTCCGTAGCACCTTACTGTCAGTCGTCTCTTCCGCTAGCCAGTCCCGGGTACGCCGAATTCTGTCACTGCCACTTCACAGGCAGACAGTAGAACACTACACAGTTCTTCTCCGGCGGCGGCTCACTGCTTCCGTAAAGCAGAATGAAGTAGAGAGCTATTGGCTGCCTATGTCGACTCTGTGGATACAGACACGTCATCAGTACACTGGTCAGTACATGAGACACTAGGAAACATCACGGAACATCATTCCGTACTCTGACATAGACATACATACCTCCTATTACATATGGCGCTGATTTTCTAGGCGCCACCTCACCAGAGGTCAGCACCAGCTACCTCTCGAGCTGACTAGGACAGGAATCTAGCGCCGCTTGCTGGTATAATCCTGTCACCACTAGATGGCGTCGTCCAATTTGTGGGGGTATCGGGAGCGGACTCACAGATGGCATTGACGTCGCTGCTCCGTGCTCCGGCGATGGAATCGGGTTCGTAACACCTTCCTTCAGCAATGCTGTGACAATGTTCTCAACTATGGGGCTATCCCATTTGGCCTGTTTGCAGTGGTTTGGAAAACTTGGTCATGGTTTAGAGATTGCAAGAATGTCCCACTGGCTGGTTTCTTCGGTGAATTTAAATAATGAATCCCAGTGGTGTCCCTTAGGTACTCTGGTAGGATCTCTTTCACTAATTCACCTGTAGCACTGATCGTGGATAAGAATGCCGGCAATTCTATCTGTGTTGTCTGCGAATACCGTTGCCGCCGAGTCTAACTGGGAGAGTTGCTTGGTCCCATGCGTCATCTTTCAGGGAGACGATTAACACTTTTATGGCTATTGTTTTAGGAGTTTGTCATATTTTGTTAATTTTGGACTGTCGAAGGAGAGAGAACCTCTTAGGGGTTCTCCCTCCCTACCTTAGGAAATAGGTAAGTCTGGGCAAAGCCAGGCACCTTGTGAGGCGGTATAAAGCATCGTGGGCATCCAAAGCCCCTATTATTCCCTCCATCCTCCTCAGGTTATTCAGCTTTTCTTTGAGGATTACCTCAATGGCACTCGAGCCCAGAGGTGCCCCTAGCAGCACACTGTTGGTGGGAGCGATCACTGGGGCTTCTGGCAACACAGTTCTTATTGCATTTATGATAATTTACCAGAGGAGATGATTTCGCACTTTGATAGATCTAGGGCGAGGCCTAACTCCTCTCCCTAAGATGTCACCAGTTAAGATCCCCTAGAAAGGACTCCTGTGTTCGTGCCAGGGTGCCATCGTCCAGGAACCAGGTGTTGAGTTCGCTGGTCAACCTGCCTGTGACCTCATTAGCTGCCATGTAGAAAAGGAAAGGGGCAAGTGGTCTTCCTGCTGGACACCTGCGGAAACAATGTCGATTCCTTACTGAAACGAAGGGTGTTTAAGGCTTGGCGTCTCAGGTGACAAACAGGTGTTGAAGGCTTGGCGTCTCAGGTGACAAGCAGGTATAGACAAGAAAATTTTGTTCGAACTGCTTCCAGTACCACATCTCTTTCTACCTGGATGAAAGCATTTTTAAAGTCTAGTATAATTAATGTTATATTTTCTGGGAGGTGCTAATTATAGGCTCGTGCTGCATGAGCTGCTGCTTCACAGCCAAGGGGGACACCAAAACCTAGTTGATGGGGTCGAGGCATCGTTGCAGCTTCCGTGCGGATGTTTCTGACAGCTGTTCTGGTAATGATGCACCAAAATGTGTTACCCACGGCAATGGGCCTGACTCCATCATCCTTCAACCGGAAATTTCCTGAAATATTGCATTTTTCAAACATTTTCTTGTATGAAAAGATACAGATTTTCATTGTATTATATATTGGCATTATTTTGTAAATTTCAATCAAAACTAACATAAGAAATTTTATCAAACCTAACTTAACCCAACCCAGTCTACCTAAACTAACCTCTAAATACTTACCTAACACAATAATTCATGTTCCTAATATATTACGTTAATGAACTATTTTGGAAAGAAATATTTGGAAATTGGGCCTTGCTAATTATGCCAAGCAGTGCTGTTTTGGATATTAAGTATGACATATAGATAATTTTTTTCACTATGGTACTAAAGAAGGCGACATCGGAAATTAGAAATCAGAAATATAAAAACTTTAAATCCATCAGCATCCAGTAACCCAATTACAGTTGGCTAAACAAGGGCGGTTGGGTAAGATCATGTAAATTTGTTCATTATCACCAAGGGCTCAAATCTAGATCATGTTTGCTTGAGTGACTTGCAGCGTGAGACAGTGATCCACCATACAATAAGAAATTTGTGTTTCACTAACAGTTTTGATGTTCGTGAGCAGCCTGAGCGCTCTTGGGGTGTGGAGAGAGGTGGCAAGTTCACAGGAATGGTGGGAGAGCTCCAGGGGGAAAAGGTGGACGTCGGTGCGCCCATGGGACCCCTTGCGGAGCGCCTCAACGCCATGGACTTCGTCAACGTTTATAAGGTTGATTTTATGAAAATTCTGTCTCTGAAGCCCACTCTGCTACCGGAATATTTATCGCTGATAAGACCTTTCTCAGGTAGGACTGGATATTTATTGCTTCCTTTAGGGCTTGGAAATATTTAATTGTTAAAATGATGTGTTAATTATAACGTGTAATATTATCTTGAGTCATGTAGTTGTGCTGCCATCCCACGCTCAGCCAGGTGTTTAAGGTCTGGCATCTCAGGTAACAAACAGGTGTTTAAGGCTTGGCATCCCAGGTGCCAAACAGGTGTTTAATCCACATGAAGATGAAGACGGTGGCAAGCAAATGCTCAGACATAAGTGACACTGTGTTGCAGGTTGGTTGATTAAACTTCACATTATAGTTTGTAGTTAGATGAGTAAACAGCTGTCAGTAAAGATGCTAAATATTTTTTGGTAAGTTATAAATAAGAGAATGATAGTAGAGACAAAGTTTTGTTGTGTAAGCCTGTTGATACCAGAATTATTCGATATTAAATGACGCTCTTCTATCTGAGCAAAATATGAAGGTGAAGGAGTGTGTTGGACTATGAACTGATGGTGCTCCCTTAATGGCGTGATGAAAGAGGCAAGTCTGCAAGAGGCTGCAAGAGATTACCTTTTAGATGCATTATTTGTTTTGTAGGCAACTGTTACCTTCTGATAATATAAGTGATGAACTAAAAACTATTCATGAAAATGTTTTCAGAGTTGTAAACTTTAAATGAAAAAATAAACTGAGTGGACAGCGCTCGGCATTCGTAGTCCTAAAGTTCCGGGTTCGATCCCCGGCAGAGGCGGAAACAAATAGGCAAAGTTTATTTCACCCTAATGCCCCTGTTTATTCGTACTTGTATTATTCCGTTGTTGATCTGAATAATCAACCGTCCTGGAATTTAATGGCTAACACCGCTCGGACATGCTACCAAGTCGACGTCCTTTGTCGACAATCTCTGGCTAGCTAGTTACAATGATACTGTAGGACCACTTATTGGCATACACTAATGGCTTACAAATAAAGTTTAAGATTAAAGATTAAAAGATGGATCAGGTGTGGCTTAATACTAACACCGCTTGGCATGTGCACAATAATTTTAACATAATTGACTTAGTGAAAAATCATGGTAACAATGCATCAACTGGAGCAAGAGCATGAAGAATCTAAGCATGTCTAAGCATTAGGTATGAACAATACAACTCAAGTATTGCTTAAAACAAAATTATCAACATCTTGTTTTAATGTCATGTGCTTGGAAAATAATAAAGACAATTATCTGCATTAATGGAACAAGAGTTATAACCTAACAACCACAGTGAATCTTATAATTAGATAACATGATAGAAATTAATGCACAATATTTACAAACTATTTATAAGGACTGGACCGAGAAGGCAACCATCTTAGTGATAGCAGTCAGGAATCAGTGGCCTCAATGTGGCTGCTAGAACAGTGATGAAACGCTGGGTGACATGCAGTGTAAAAACACAAATGGTACAGTAGGCTTCACAATGCATCTGAAAAAATACACAAAACAAAGTTGAAGGAAGTATATACAATGCATTATACAGTAATAATAAGATACATGGGGTAGAGTTACCAGAATGACAACTGCAGAATGCACTTAATTATTGATTCTGCAAATGTCAACATCTAGTTCATCAGGAGCTATGCAACTCTGGCTCTGACTGAAGGTCAGGAACAGATGAAATTGCATGTGACCAGGTGTCATCTGGGTGGTTAATCTCATTAACATCTAGCCAATGAATGTGTGGTGAGTGCATGGTTGAGACTAAAGGTTCAGATCTAAAATTATAGGTGCTGGTATGGGGTAGCTCGACGTCAAGTAGTCGGTCAACCACAGTAGGTGGTATCCCAATAGAAGAATACGTCTGGGTAGGGTTATTGTCATCTTCTGCATCAGTCTCATACCTGGTTGATGGGGTTCTGCGAGTTCTTCTACTCCCCCAAGCCCGGCCCGGGGCCAGACTTGACTTGTGAGAGTTTGGTCCACCAGGCTGTTGCTTGGAGCGGCCCGTAGGTCCACATACCCACCACAGCCCGGTTGGTCTGGCACTCCTTGAAGGAAACAATTTAGTTTCCTCTTGAAGATGTCCACGGTACTTCCTGTAATATTTCTGATGCTCGCTGGTATGACGTTGAACAACCGTGGACCTCTGATGTCCATACAGTGTTCTCTGATTGTGCCCATGGCACCTCTACTCTTCACTGGTTCTATTCTGCATCTTCTTCCATGTCGTTCACTCCAGTACGTTGTTATTTTACTGTGCACATTTGGGACCTGTCCCTCCAGTATTTTCCATGTGTATATTATTTTGTATCTCTCTCGTCTCCTTTCTAGTGAGTACATTTGGAGAGCTTTGAGACGATCCCAATAATTTAGGTGCTTTATCTCGTCTATGCGTGCCGTATATGTTCTCTGTATTCCCTCAATTTCAGCAATCTCTTCTGCTCTGAAGGGGGAAGTGAGTACTGAGCAGTACTCAAGACGGGACAACGCAAGTGATTTGAAGAGTACAACCATTGTGATGGGATCTCTGAACTTGAAGGTTCTCGTAATCCGTCCTATCATTTTTCTGGCTGACGCAATAATTGCTTGGTTATGCTCCTTAAACGTTAGGTCGTTGGACATCATTATTCCCAAATCCTTGACATGCTGTTTTCCTACTATGGGCAGATTCGATTGTGTTTTGTACCCTGTATTATGTTTAAGATCCTCATTTTTGCCGTATCTGAGTACCTGGAATTTATCACCGTTAAACATCATGTTATTTTCTGCTGCCCGATCGAAAAGTTTGTTAATATCTGTTTGTAGTTTATCAATGTCTTCAGCAGAGCTAATTTTCATGCTGATTTTTGTATCATCTGCAAAGGATGACACGAAGCTGTGACTTGTGTTTTTGTCTATATCTGATATGAGAATAAGGAACAGCAGTGGTGCAAGGACTGTACCTTGAGGTACAGAGCTTTTAACTGCGCTCGGACTCGATTTTACTTGATTGACTGTTACTCTTTGTGTTCTGTTCGACAGGAAATTGAGTATCCAGCGTCCTACTTTACCAGTTATACCCATTGATCTCATTTTGTGTGCAATCACTCCATGGTCACATTTGTCGAATGCCTTTGCAAAATCTGTGTACACGACATCTGCATTTTGTTTTTCCTCTAATGCCTCAGTGATTTTGTCATAGTGGTCAAGTAGATGTGAGAGGCATGATCTTCCTGCTCTAAATCCATGTTAGCCTGGATTGTGGAGGTCATTGGCTTCCATGAATCTAGTGACCTGACTCCTGATCACTCTCTCAAATACTTTTATTATGTGGGACGTTAGTGCAACTGGTCTATAATTCTTTGCCAATGCTTTGCTACCACCCTTGTGTAGAGGGGCAATGTTTGCTGCTTTAAGTGCATCTGGTATCTCCCCTGTGTCCAAGCTCTTCCTCCACACTATACTGAGTGCCTGTGCTACTGGCACTTTGCATTTCTTTATAAGTATTGAATTCCATGAGTCTGGACCCGGGGCTGAATGCATGGGCATATTGTCAATTTCTCTTTCTAAATCTGCCACACTCGTGTTGATATCAGTTATATTTACAGGTGTTTGAGTATCATTCATAAAGAAATTGTCCGAATCTTCCAATTTCATGCTGAGTATCGGAGTGCTAAACATGTCCTCATACTGCTTTTTTAGGATTTCACTAATTTCTTTGTCATCCTCAGTGAATGAACCTTCACTAATACGAATAGATCCAATACTGGCAGTGGTTTTCGCTTTTGATTTAGCATATGTGAAGAAATATTTTGGGGTTTTCTTTATTTCTTGAATTGCTTTCTGTTCTAGTTGTCTTTCTTCAGTCTGATAGGAATGCTTCAGTATCTGTTCGATTTCTTCAATCTCCCTGTTTAACTTATTTCTTCTCTGTATGGAGAGTCGTGTCTGCTTAAGCATTTCCGTTAATTTTTTCCTACTTTTGTAATGTCGTCTGCGTTCTCTTTCTACATTGGTCCTCTTTCTGGCTTTCCTCAAAGGAACATGTTTCAGACAGACTTCATATGCTTCAGAAGTCAGTTTTTCTATTTCTTGCGTAGGATTTTTATTTCTTAGAACATTTTCCCATTGAATGTTTGAAAGTTCCCTGTTTATTTTCTCCCAGTCTATCCTCTTACATCCTCTTAAAATTGAATTTACTGAATAGCCCTTCTCGCTTGTTGTTTCTCTTGGGCCTACTACCGTTATTAATGTTAGTTTGCACTTCAATGAGCTTGTGGTTCGAGTACGTAGTGGCTGAGACCGTAATGTCTCTGATTAGCTCCTCATTGTTCGTGAATATCGGGTCCAGCGTGTTTTCGTTCCTAGTTGGTTCTGTAATCTGCTTACTGAGCGAGAATTTATCACAGAATCTCAGTAGTTCTCTGACCTGTGGTTGGTTATTTTCAGGTTGACTTCCTGCTATGATGTTATTGTTTACTATTCTCCATTTTAAACTGGGTAGGTCGAAGTCCCCAAGGATGATGATATCTGGTACTGGGTTTGTTAGGTTATCAAGGATATTCTCTATTTTGTGGATCTGTTCAGTGAATTCCTCAACTGTTGCATCTGGCGATTTGTATATTAAATTAATAACTTGATTCATATTTTCTACCTTGATTCCACGTACCTCTACCACCTCATTGGACGAGTTCAGGAGCTCTGTGCATGCCAGCTCCTCTTTAATATACAGACCTACTCCGTCACGTCTATATAGATTATAATTCGGAATCCAGATTTCACTATCCATGTGGTCTTTTGTGTGGGTTTCTGTAAATGCACCAAATATTGAGTTCGATTCTATTAGGAGGCCATTTATGAACTTGACTTTATTTCTTGATTTTGGTTTCAAGCCTTGTATGTTTGCAAATATGAATAATTTCCCACATTGCATGTCACTTTTGGTGGGCTTTGGTAGTTCTTCCCCCCCCCCCCCACTCTACCCCGGTCCAGGGTGTGTTGTTTTGGAAGTGATTCGTCCAGTTTTGGTAGTAGGACGGGTGTTGTGTGGTGTAGTACCTGTGTGCTTGTTGATAATTTGTATTCCAGTCTTGTGGGTATCTCCCTTCCCCTCTGTAATCCTATAGTGGTTCCATCTGACTGTTCCTCTCTCTTATATTTACTACTCTGTTTCTCCCTTCCTCTAAAAAATTTCCAGTAGTGTCATATTGATCTTCCCGTCTATAAGGCTGTGTACCTCTCACGTGGAATTCCGGACACTGAAGATTGTAGCATTTTTGTCCCTAATTGCAAATTGACATAATTTAGGGTGAAAGTATCTACACCCTGTTCCAAAACGGCATGTACCCCTCGCCAACATGTTCCTGCATTTTCGAGAATGCAGAAAATTGCATTTTGCTCCTAATTTTCCATATTTGCATATTCCTTTAGCGTAGAATTTGCAAATATGTTCAAGTTTTGCGTTTTTTAAGGTATTTATACCTGTGTCTGTCTTGTTTACCTCTTTATTGGGGCCATCTCCGTCTTTCGTCCCAATTCCTTCATTTATGCACTCTGTCTCATTGTTGCTCTCATCGTTTATATTATCTGACTCTGCAATATTGCTGTTATTTTGTACCACAATACCCTCTTCCTCCACACTACTGCTGCAGTTCTCTAAACTATCTGTTCCTGAGTTTTGGTCATTATCCAATGTTGTCTTTTCCCAGTCCGCATATATCACTGGTAGCTTGTCTGTGAATGATAATCTCTGTGACTCGGGAATGATTTTCATCAATTTAGTTATGTTCTCCAACATTAATCTGTCATCTTTGCAAACCCAGTAAATTCCTTGCCTTTTTGTACATCCTGGAGATAATTCTGCACAGCCCAGGTGAAATCTTATGTTACAGATGCAACACTTGACGCCTACATTACATCTTCCCAATACTTCACTCGCTACCTCTCCATTGTCTGATGTATTGTATTGTATTTGTGGTTCACTGTATGGATCACTTGTTGATGTCAGTCCTTTTAACTCTCTATAAAATTATATGTATTTATTTATATATTTAATATTTATAATATTATATGTATACCGTATGTTTGTAATATTATGTATGTTATTTTGTTCAAACTTTATGGCAGGTACTTAGCGTAGGGTAGCGAAGCTGGTCCCCTGGTCGGTACAGGTGACCTCTTGTTGTCCCAGGTTGATGTCACCAGTTTCCAGTTACCCGATTTATGACAGTGATTTATTCTTTGCTTGTATTCTTACAAGGAATTTTCTGCCTAATTTCCGGCTAGCAATGGTACTCACTCACTTTATTACTAATTCCTAGATCCACATTTCCATATTACACAATATATTTTCTGTATTTTATCACTGTGGGACTGCCCTGGGGTAAGCCTCGTGGCTTGTGAAAACACAGCCTAGCTGATGCCGCCTCTTGCCACTATTCTATATTTCTAGTATTCTATATTTATAATATTCTATGCACGATTTTCCTACAATTCCAACTTATATATGTGTTGTGATACCCATTCCACTTCACTGTTCCACGAATCACTGTTCACTATTTTTTCCTCATACCGCCTACACGCATGTACACAAAGCCTCGTGCACTGGCTCCCACGTGGTCTCTCGTTTATTCTCTATTTAACACAAAGTTCCATTGTTAATGACTGTTTTCCCATTTTCCAGCGGGTCACTATGCACTTTGTGATGTCTGTAATCAGTAATCCATGGCTGCAGACCTAAGAAATCTCGGTTAATGTCATGATTTTAACGGAGAGCGCACGGTACCTCGCTCCCCACCAAGATTACTCCTTCCACTACAGCCCTAATTATCACAACAATCCTGCTATTATCAGAATCCTGGTCATTTTGATCTCAGTCTGGGGTCTTCTGTAATACTATCATCGCTAAATAATAGAATGAACATATATATTATGGCATTTTTAAGCGATGCTGTGAGTTACAAGTTGAACAGCAATGCTGTGAGCTCATGCTGCGTGCGCCAGCCTTGGTGGCTCACTCACTACTGAGGCCCTCACACCCAGGAATGTGGCCCACGATTTTTTGTTTAAATGGCGTCTGTTTACAAGAACCCTGATGAAAGTGAGGTGAACCCCGTGTATCCACGGCCGTTTAAATCTTGCGTAGTACTCCATTGCATCATATGACGCGATGTGCAATTTTTTGCAAGTTACGCAACCCTGCATATGATGTGTTGTGCAGTTTAAGGGTTAAGGCCCAGTACTACAGATCCAACAGTTATCTTACTGGGCTTAGCTTTAGCATTCCTTGCTTGGGTAAACTCCACAGTGGCCTTGGACAAGTGTTCTCGTATTTTCTTCAAGACTAGTTGCATTTGTCAATGCTTTACTTGAACAAAATCATCTAGGTTATACAAAAGAGCAGGGGGTACATTGATCAATTCATTAGGGAGAATCTTACCTGTACCATAAAGAAAAGTATGAGGAGTGTCTCCTGTAGAAGCATAAATTGAAGAATTTATAGTACACTAAATTAAGAGTATAAACTCATCCCAATTACTGTTATCAAAATTCAACGTAACTCTCAAGGTATCTAACACCTTCTTGTTAGTACGCTCTGCTAACCTATTACTTGCTGGATTATATGGCATAATGCTACATTTTTAATGTTATAGAATTCACACAAACTAGTTAAGACACTATTACTGAATGTGGGGAATCTGGTTCTAGTTTAATACTAATAAAATGTATAATTCGATAAATGCAAAATAAACATTAAATCTAAGATAGCTCGAAGGACCAGAATGCATTGTTAAATGAGAGAACCAGTGACCTATGGATCTCTATGATTATATGTAATTATATTCTATTAAGCAATGACTGTAAATTCTATGCATGCTAGAACTAGCTTCCCATGACACTTTTTTTTTGGGGGGGGGGGGCTTCTATGAGATGAATCTATGTGCAACATATATTATGTAATAATAATAATGATAATATGCACACGCATAGATAATGATAAAAATAATAATGCAAAAAATACTACTGCATATTAAAATTCAAATTCATGTATCTGATTAATATGAGATAATTAGAAATGCTTGACTCTCAATAATTAAATTCTACTATCTACAATGAAAACTAATTAAATCTCAGCTTTGACAGAGGGACATAGGTGTAGTCCAATCTCTACAACAGTCTGGAAACAGCTTGAGATAGTGATACTTGGAACACATGAGTATGTGGCGATCACACGCTTCCTCAGTTGTGTTGCCTCATGCTGCAATAATTCAATTCCATAATTTCCACTCCAAATTATGGAATGCAAATAATAATTCACACAAATAAATGCAATATCTAAATATTTGGAGGGGTAAAAACAGCACTCACATGGGGATTATTTTATCGCCTGCAGTGTTATGACATGCCACCTATATTAATTAATACCAGAGCTCAAAATAATAACTAAAAAGGGTAAAATGCCTGCCGAACTGGTGTCCATGATTTTGGTAAGCTGCATCCTCAATCTGAAGCCTGATGATGTACGGATGCTTGCTACATTGTAAGATTTATAGAGACCGCTTCGGAACACCATACTGCTAGTTGATCGAAAATGGTGAGAGTCCTCTTCCTTCCCGAAAGTCGCACATGCGCATAGCTCCCAGTAAGGGCCCAAGCATAAATTATATTTTTTCATTAAAGCTAAATAGGGAAGGAAGTGTTTATGAATACTCTTTATAGCTGAACTAAATACTTTATGTGGTGATACTTGACTCTCACAGTGCAGGTCAGTTAATGTAGACTGCGCAAATAAAACGAGAATCCTTTGGAGGTGGAAATGATTTTAGATTATGATATTAATTACTAAAACAGCTATCAAGCTGGGTAAAGGAATTCCAGTAAACTGTTGTATACTAAATAAAGTAAACCTATTACTAAATAATTATCCCTAATAAAGGAAAGTAAATGGTTGAACTTCTATTAGATATACAGATATGTAGAAATTTATTCTCCGTGGGTGGCTGACACAACACTGCACAATTCTAGGAGAAATTACATGATGTTCCACATCCTAATGCAATGAATTCTATGATACTAAACTACGGATTAGTAATATTAGTTAATTATAACAATTAGTACAGGAAATATATCCCACTGTACTAAGGATTAGTAAATGAGTATTAAATAATAATGAAGCCTAATACAGGAAATACATCCTATTGTATTAGGGATGAGAATAACTGTTGGAAATTGCCAACACTGAACTCTGGACCATTATCTGAAAATATTACTTTTGACATACTAAATCTACAATTTATATGGTCATGGAATGCACAGGTTATAGTTTCTGCTGTTTTGTTCGGTAGTCGAACAAAGTTCGCAATACCTTGAAAAATTGTCAACCATTACAAGCAAGTGTTTGTTCCCTTTTTCAGTTACTGCAAAATTTGTCAACCAATCCATTGATACACGTTCCCAAGGAGCTTTAGTCTCTGGGTACACACAAAGTGAGTTAGGTCTCACGACGTGTCCCTTGTGCTGTAAGCAGGTTAAACATCTGTCAACATAATGAGCAATCTCTTTAGCCATTTTGGGCCAAAAATACTTCAATGGACGTTGCTGGAGTGTACGATCCTTTCCTGGATGTGCACTTGCAGGAACATCATGGATAATCTTTAACACATTTGGTACCAAGACTGCTGGAACAACTAACTGACAACACTTCCTTGGGGGGGTCTCTAACATTACTACTCTACACAGTAAATTGTTTTACATCACTAATTCTTTCAATGGTACTGGGGTTTGTGAATCTGACGAGTATCTTGCTTAGCCAAAAACTTAATGACAGGTGCCCATATGGGGTCTTGTCTTTGTTCTGTTTCTACTACTGTAGCATCTAATGCTGGGTAATTTAACTGGATTGCAGCTACATGTCGAGAAAACGCATCAGCTACAATTTTTTTTCCTGGGATATATCCAAATGTAGGATTGAATTATTGAATTGTAAGTAAATATCTAGCATATTTTCCGACAGGATTTTTATTCATGAACAAAGGAATTAATGGTTGATGATCTGTAAGAACATGAACTGGGAATCTGTAAATTGTACCCCTGAAATGTTTAAGAGCCCATCAACTGCTAGAGTTTAACGCTCTGTTGCACTATAATTGTTCTCTTCCTTAGACAATGTATGGCTGGCATAAGCTATTGCATGATCTCTGTGATCTTCGGATTGAAGTAATGCAGCACTTAAGCCTATGTCTCTAGCATCTGTGACCAACGTAAAAGGTTTAGAAAAATTTGGGTACCTAAGGACAGGTGACGAGATCAATGCTTTTTAGAGCTTCCTGAAAGACTCTTCTTGGGATTCTTCCCAAACAAAGGGTTCATCTTTTCTTTGCAACTTGTAAAGTGGAGCGGCTATAGTAGAGAATCCAGCAATAAATGAACGATTAAATTTTACAAGACCTGTGAATTGTCTCACAGCTTCTGCATTATGAGGCATTGGAAAATCACAGGCAGCAATAATTTTGTATTCATCCAAGGTAATACCTGAAGGGGTCACTGAGTGACCTAGGAAATTAACCTTCTCCTCTAAAAATGAACACTTTGAAAGTTTTATTTTTAAATTTGCTTCTGCGAGCTTTGTGAGTACTTTCTCCAGGTTCTGGAAGTGAGTCTGGACATCTTGCGACATGATTATGAGATCATCAAGATAAACTAGAAGAGTACTACCAATCAATCTATGATACAGGTTCGTCATGAACCTTGAAAAGCTTATTGGGCTGCTTTGCAAACCAAATGGCATTCTCTTGAAATGAAAAGGAAAATTAGGGGTACTAAAGGCTGTCAACTATTTACTTTCCTCATCTAGTGAGATCTGCCAGAATCCCTGCAACAAGTCTAAAGTTGAAAATACTTTGTTTCTACCTATGCTTTGCAACAAATCATTTAAGACTGGAAATGGGAAATGATCAGGTATGGTACTCTGTTAGAGTTTTGGTAGTCGATTACCGGTCTCCATGTCCCAACTCGTTTTGGTACAAGAATCAATGAGGCGTTCGATTCAAATACATCATCCTGTAACAATTCTTCTATAAGTCTATCAGCTTCTGCTCTATGAGAATGTGGTAAACGGTATGTTGGAACATAAATTGGTGTTGTACCTTGTTCAAGGACAATTTTATGCATGATGAGAGGAGTGAGACCTAACTTTTCTCCAGGTAGACCGATGACTGTTCTGTTCTTATTTAAAATTTTCAAAAATTGAACCACGGAGTCAGGGAAATCCGTAGGACTGAGGTGTTGTGCTTGCACCTCTGGCTGAGATTCCCATTCTCCTGGTGTGAGTGTACACACAATAAGTTCCATGGAGACATCACCCACCACTTGCACCGGTAACGAGTAATGGGAAAAATCTACAACGTGTTTGACAGACTGGAGATGGATGTCGGCACTACTAGTGTTTGCAATATACAATGTAAGAGTACTGTCCTGCACTGTGTGCCAGGAGGGTTCGACAAATGTACCATTTACTTTACATGTTTCACTATCTGCAATGACATCCGACAACTCAGGAACTCCCTGAATCTTAGCTCTTACTCTTGGGAGAAAATGAGAGTGCAGCACAGTGTCAGTAGCTGTAGAACCACTGACTTCATAGATGGAAGCTGACAGGCGAGCAAGAAGACGAGAATCTGTTACAGTGTCCCCTTCCAGAAAGTCTCGATACTCACTCTCCTGAGCAACTGCACATCAAAGATGTTTCAATTGAGTACCTGTATTCTCAGGCATGCTACTGCAACAAGAATCTGATAAACCAATGCAAGCAAGTTGGCTGAGTGGGAAGTTGATTTCTCCCTTAACTGTTACTTATTTCCTGAAACACCCTTCAGAAAAGGTACTTGTGATTTTCTTACTATGACAGAGTGCTTACTTAAAATATCTATACGAGTTGCAGGCTTGACAATATTTATTTTAGCACCTGTATTAACACAAACTTTTAGTCTTCTATCATATACTAGGGCTAATACTAGCGGACCATCACATGACACTGTACAATTCAATGCTTGTGATTTATGTTGCCTTGGTTTTCTATGTCTAGTCTGGGTCAAATTCACCCGGGTCCCATCAACATCCAACACTGGTCTATTGTCAGTGTCCTCCTCTGTCAAGTGTCCAAATCTGTTTTGGGTAACTACTGAGTACACAGGAAGGGCACTAGGGTGTGCGTTCTTGAATTGGTTAAGGGGCATTAGTTCCAAATATGCCAAAAATATGCAATAATTGAAAACTCGTTCGATTTCAATCAAAGTTTTTTGACGAGTTATATTTGAAAAGGGTTTGATCTGGTCCAAGTCTCAGCATCGTAGCATAAATAGGAAGGGGAAAAAATATTGAATTATGTGTCAAAAAATTTCCAAAATTGTCAAAAATTAACATCAAATACAAGTGTTAACTGAAATCATGTATATGACTCTCAGCTATCACAATAGCATACATTAAAAATATATATAATTTTTTTAATAAAACTAATTAAGTTAAAAAAAAATATTTTTTTTTCTTATTTCATTTGCATGAAACTTATACACCTGACTGCACGTAAGCCTATCTGTAAGGGTGCTAATTTTGGAGAAAATTGGTTGATGTCAACCTCAACCACAGATGGCAGCACCTTAGACTTTAATTTTTAATGATTTATTTTTCAAGTAACATAAACGTAGTCCCTACTCTTTCATTTTTATTCAATTTACATGAAACTTACACCTTATATGTAAAGTTTGTCTCTAAAATCTGATGCCAGCGTTTTTTTCTAAGTTCAAATATTGATTTTATAACAGCAATAAACATGATTTATTTGCATAATTTTTGGAGGGAACTTTGACAATTTGTATTAGTAAAACTAAATATATTTTGGAAAATCTGCAGCATTAGATCCTTTAATATATGCTAATGTGTCAGAAAAGTGTCATAGAATGATTATATTTGAAACTTGTGTTTGTAGGGACTTACTGAAAATGTTTAATATTTGTTGAAAAAATATATATATATATATCCCTTTCTATTTAGGCTGATGTACTGAAACTTGGAACAATTGCAGCCCTTTCCATATACAACATGTCAAAAAAGATTTGTTGACATTAAACAAAGTTTAAAAAAATAACTCATGGCCCTTAATCAGAGATGTAAGCTAGCAAAACAACTAAGTACAAGGGCGTTGAGAAACTGTAAAAATAACAGGACACTAGAGAGCAGAGAAAAATTCCAGAGGGCCAGGAATGAATACGTCAGGGAGAGAAGAGAGGCAGGAAAGGCAATATGAAAATGACATAGCGAGCAAGGCAAAGACTCAACCAAAATTGCTGCACAGCCAAAACTGGAGAAAAACAACAGTGAAGGAACAGGAAATGAAACTGAAGAGAGGAACAAAAAGATTCATTACAAACGACAAGGAAGTGTGCGAGAAACTCAATAAAAAATTCCAGGAAATCTTCACCTCAGAACAAGGAGAAGTCCCAGAGATACGGGAGGGAGAATCTAACCAGACAACATTCGAAGAGTTTGTGATTACCAATAGGGAGGTGAGGAAACATCTTTTAGATTTGGATGCGACAAAGGCTATAGGCCCGGATGGAATCTCACCCTAAAGGAAGGAGCAGAAGCTCTGTGTCTGCTACTCTCCATGGTATACAACAATCATTAGTGACAAATGAATTGCCAAAAATTTGAAAGACGGCTAATGTAGTTCCGATATTTAAGAAGGGTGAAAGACAGGTGGCACTGAACTACAGACCAGTGTCCTTAACTTGCATTCTATGCAAGGTGATGGAGAAGATTGTGCGAAAAAATCTAGTGGAAGTTGTGTAAAGAAAGAACTTTTTAACACAACATCAGCATGGGTTCAGGGATGGCTAATCAAGCCTCACAGGATTGATTGATTTCTATGACCAGGCAACAAAAACCAGGCAAGATAAAGAGAGCTGGACAGGCTGCATATTCCTGGACTGCCAGAAAGCACACAGTTTCACATAAAAGACCACAAGCTGGAGATGCAGGCAGGAGTGAAAGGGAAGGTACTCCACTGGATAAGAGAGTACCTGAGCAACAGAAGACAGCGAGTCACTGTGAGGGGTAAGGCCTCAGAGTGGCAGAGCGTCACCAGTGGAGTTCCACAGGGATCAGTCCTTGACCTATACTGTTTCTGATATACGTAAATGATCTCCCAGAGGGAATAGACTCACATCTCTCAGTGTTTGCTGAAGGTGCAAAAATTATGAGGAAGAACATGACAGAGAAAGATAGTGTGAAGCTACAAGATGACCTTGACAGACAGAAGGAATGGTCCAACAAATGGCCACTAATGTTAAACCATAGTAAATGTAAGGTAATGAAACTAGGCGGTGGAAATAGGAGACCAGTCACTGGATACTGAATGGGAGATGAAGGCCTTCACGAAACGGACACAGAGAAAGATCTAGGAGTTGATATCACACCAAACCTGTCTCCTGAAGCCCACATCAAAAGAATAACATCGATGGTATATGCGAGGCTGGCTAACATCAGAACTGCTTTCAGAAACCTGTGTAATTAATCCTTCAGAACCTTGTATACCACATATGTAAGACCAATCCTGGAGTATGCAGTCCCAGCAAGGAGCCCATACCATGTTAAGCTCGAGACGAAGCAGGAAAAAGTTCAGAGGTATGCCACTAGGCCAGTCCCAAACTAAGAGGCATGAGTTATGAGGAAAAGCTGCGTGAACTGCACCTCACGTCGCTGGAAGACCGAAGAGCTCGTAGGGACATGATCACTACATATAATTCTCATAAAAATTCATAATCCAAAGATGGATTATTTAACACGGTGGTACATGCACAAGGGGACACAGGTGGAAGCCGAGAACCCAAATAAGACTCAGAGACATTGGAAAAAACTTTTTCAGGGTCAGAGTAGTTAGTAAATGGAATGCACTAGGAAGTGATGTGGTGGAGGCTGACTCCATACACAGTTTCAAATGTAAATATGATAGAGCCCGGTAGGCTCAGGAATCTGTACACCAGTTGATTGAC